CATATTCTCGCCTGTCTACTATGCACTGTATGACGTTCACACTGTTAAACGTCTTAGGGTGGCTATAGCAAACTTCAACTGCCGTTATTGCAATCATCAGCTAGTTAAGGTGTTCCGTAAATGACATCAAAATAGTGGAATTGTCCACGAAGTTGAAGAAATCAAAAAACGAGCCATTTCTGAAATTGAAGGCGTGGCCACCAGCGTCTCCAAAGCTGCCGGCATGAATGCACATTTTGCTTTGTAGGTCAAGAACAGGCAGTTTCATAGGCTGTCATGTGTCTGCACCAATCATATAAGCACACCATGAATGGGTTGTGAATACAATTTACTTTTGCCATGGAGATATCGCTTCAACTCTGTCCGGTCTTATCGGCATCATTCGATATTTATGGACAATTTGCACACGCAAGGAGTTAGTTACCCACTTTCCAACGCTGCACCATGGTCAGAACACATGAAAATCCATTTAACAAATGTAGACATTTGTTTGGTGGGCAAATTTGACAAAATTTCTGCATGTTAATTTGCATGTGTTTGGCCGAAAATAGGTAGTGATGACTTAATTGCATCCTGTCATTTCTCATCTCCTTTATCTATGCTGTACCTCTGAGGAAGCCGATGCATTTACAGTTCATGGAAGATTTAGGGAGATCGTGTGCATGGACAGGGGCAGAAACGCTTTTTCCTGGCTTCAAGTAGGTGAAGGCATGTAATTCACTCAAGGAGAGAGGGATATTTGACCATACCAATTATTGAGAGCTCATGGAATGGTGTGGCCATTAATGTGACCATAGGACTGAACTGGCGGATCCAATATTTCTTTTTCAGAGTGTGAGGGACGATTGCATCCAGTTTCGCATTTCGGGCGGCATGAAGTTTTAGAATGCACAGAATGGGCATGGCGATCACTACTATTGGATGGGCTATTGACTCCCGTGCGAATGGGGATACATGTGGAGGAGTCAAGCATCAAGGCGAACGGAGGAATGTGCATCCACTGTCTGCAATAATAGAGACTGGTAGTAGTGAGAAGGAAGACAGTCCTGGTTCTATCCCTTTAAATACCACTGGGTCCACCAACTCGCTGAATTTATGGGGCGACACGAGTCCCTCTCACTGTGACTGCATATTTCGTCGAAAGGATTCGTGTCTCTGAATTGCATGCTGGCTTTACGGCAGTGAGGATGGACACCGAAAGTCAGACAGCTTGTGGATTAAGCTGTGCATCTATGCAATCACCTCGCGGAAATCTAGGCAGTACGTTGCCTCAAATGCCGGTTTGTTGCATATCCGCAGTAGTGGAAATGCAGTATTTAAACAAATGAGATCATGTTTTACCTGCACTTTGCTGCAAATTACTAACTGCAATGAAAGGGTTTGAGCCACCACTTGGGTCACTTGCTAAGACTGCATTTTGCATGAATGTAAGGCCATCAAGCGAGAGTGCTTTGGGAAACCTTTTGCCAAACTCAGTTTATAACACTTATGTGGTATTTAAGTAAAGTGCGAGGGTATTGAAACAAAGACGTATTCACTACAAACTATGCTACAATTCAGAGGCAACTTAAAAGACAGTAAGAAGGACGCGGAGTGGATGAGGCGGCGGAGTAGACATTGGGGCAGTGCCTGAGCCAACGTAGTCATGAAAAGTTCGTGTGATGGGATATGATGTGATGAGAATAGAGGGGAAGCAGTTAAGTCACCACTGTCTAATTTCGGCTAAGTACACGGTGAAGAGCATTCAGTAATTTTGTCATATTTGCCCATCAAAGAAACACCCTCATTTGAGGAATGGTTCTGCAGGTGTGCTGAGCACGGTAGAGGAATGAAATTTTGGTAACTTACTCGCTGCAAGTGCGAACTCTCAATGAATAAGGAATGATGCAAATAAGACGAGACAGAGTTGGAGCGACATCTTCAGTGCAAAGGTAAGTTGTATTCACGACCCACGCATGCTGTGCTTATATGATTGGTGCAGGTTCATGGCAGCCTATGAAATGGTGCGTCCTTGACCTACAAAACAAATGTGCACTCACGCACGCTGTGGTGGAGACGCTGGTGGGCACTCACCCAGGCTCAGTTTACGGTGGCCTTCACCACACGACCGCAAGGCGAGTACGGACACGTCGCATGACTGTACTCACAGGCACACACGTCGGTCAGCAGCACCACGACTGCAAGCATGCACGACCACGTAGATGCACGGAGCAAGTGTTTGTCCAGCACTTGTCGGATTGAATCAGGAAAAATATGGCATGGTGTGGGAATACTTTATGAGTACTTGTGCTTTACTTAGGTACAAATTCTTAGTATATGCAATATGTTCTAGCAGATGTGATTGTGTTTTATCCATTTATACGCAGATTTGAAAAGACCCGTTTCTGATGCACGCAGTTCTCCCACTAGGTGAATAATATTCCTGCTCAGTCCACAACAATTATTGTGTGTAAACTCTGCCCATATTAGACATTGGGGATGTCTTTCTTTGGCGAAATTTTTCACCTTAAGTGTAAGAAACCGGTGGTAGAATGGTGGAATAATGAAAGCGCTGTATGCTGCTTCGGAAAGCATGGCCAGTGTTGACAGACACCTCAAATGGAACATTTGTCATCCGGATTTATGTCGCATTGAGATCAACTTGAATTATTGCATGATGATCAGTACGGTGGTGGTGATGCAGTGGCTTCTTACGTGGTCTCCTTGCCAAGGTGCCTGTTTGGTAACGCAGCAAATGTTTGCCTGTAATTGAAATGCTTATGTGTTTGGCGTAGGGCACGAAGTCGGAGCTAACTCGTGCCATTAACTATTCGCATCCACTTTTCCCTGCCTGTGTTCCACACACAAATTCCCTTCACAGACCAACCATTTTAGTCTAAAACCCACTATGAGAAAGAGGAAAATCGGCTTTATTTGGCCTCAGATTCATTTTACTCTATGAAGGCTGGACAGATGTGTGGAATTGCCCTACTTGTAAGGTATGTGTGAAACCAGGTATTCTTTGTACTATCCGTGAATAATGGCCAAAACGAAGCCTCAGACAGAAAAATGGGAAGTTATATTGAAAGGCGGCAACGTGATTGCCAATTTTGTTGGCAACGGAAAAGGGAAGGCACAACAAATGATTTTGATTGTGCAGCAGTAAGAAATTTAGAGAAGATCACGCTTTAAAGTCGGGGGAGTAGAGCTTGATGTCAGCGGACCCAACATTAGAAGGCTCATATCACCCGATAACAATACAATGAATGGGCCGAATTCTGAGACAATGTCTACTGAAAGGTAAGTCGGTTCCATTCAATCCAGTAAATATTTGCTATTTCGGTGTGATCATATTGTTGTCAAGCTACGGCAAAGCACTGCAAATTCGAGTCCAATTGGGTTGCTGCCTGCAGTTGGCCTCAACACATCGCTTTGACTGGCACCAATAGCCAAATTGGTAAGTTCAATGGGGTTTGACAAGCACCCAGTAAAGTTGCCGAGCTAATTCAAGTACGAATTTGCTTATAGCACCTTTGCCGAGGAGAATCCATAAGGACTGCAACCTCCTGACAGCACACCCATCCATTGAATTGATGTACATGATTTGCTCTACCTCCAACGACGGCTTAAGCTAAGAACCAGGGAATATTATTCGTTTATCCACATATGTTTTGCTGCATGAGGATGCACACCATTTGTTCTGTTAGGCATGCTGTCGTGAATCGGCTGCGACAACTGTCAGGAAGCGTTCTTTGGTTAGTAAGTCGACAATATTGGGTCGGAAAACAACCGCAAATGTATCGGCAAAACAACTAGTTAATTCAATGTGGAGCCAAGTAAAGCAAATTCCTGACAAAACTTTTATAAAATATCCTATTAACCGGTGAGAGCATCGCTTGCCTTTCATCCTGCTTTTGTACTAAAGGCTGCTATCATCTGGATTCATCTTCAATTTAAGTTCAGCTTGGTTTCGTGCAAATGCTTACCGACGTCCATGCGTGAAGCGATTCTGTGCTCCTAGGTTAGAATTTGAATGTGCAGGCGATACTGGACAACTGCTTTAATGTCAAACCCGGTTAAACGCCACACTTATCCCACATCAGAAGTTGTTTAAAGTGCAAAACATCGCCTGTGGGGCTACAGTCCAAAAATTTGATACATTTGAGGAATTTATAATTATTGCAGTGTATTTATGTGAAAGAGAGGAGAAAGATGAAATTAGTGCCAGCACAGCCGCGGTTTTAATGGAGGATTCCCTGACCTCTCACCCTGAGTCAAACTGCTGTTGATACACTTAGGATCAGGTAGACGTCCAATGGGTGCTAAACATTTCCATCCTGTCATTTTACCGTTCAAAGAGAATAAGATCTGAATTAAACCACCAAATTTATTAGAATAGCAACAGATTGATATGCGTGGAGGTTTTCCAGGTTCCTTCCAAAGGGCTGTAGCTAAAGAGAATAATTTCCCTAGAATAGCTACCCTTTCTGGAATATCTTACACGTGTCACGAGTCCTGCGCGACCAGCTGACTGTTGGAACATTTACTCCACTGCAAAAGTGGTCTTAAGCAATCTCGGCCAAAACTATACGCCTTTTGCTCATCATGCACACCTCACTACTTTAATCTTGAATAGCTCTTTCTTCGGTGTCGTCATGCATTCCGAGCGTTCGCCTGCACGTCACCACTTTAGACATCCTTTTAGCTCCTGCGTTGC